AAAAAAAAAAAGAAAGATCTGCAGTCATTCTAATATTCTTCCCTTGTACCTTATACTTTTCCTATGTTTGTCTGCTTGCAGAATTTTCTCCTTCATATTAACTTTGGCAAAGTTAATTACAATGTGTCTAGGAAATGCTTTATTTGGATTGAGTCATGCTGGGCTTCTGAAACTGTCTGCTATCTGAATTTGAGTATCTCTTGCCATGCTTGGGAAATTCTCCTCCATTATATCTTGGAGTAGAATGTCAGTACCTTTAGGACTGTCCTCTTCTCCCTCAGGAATTCCTATAAGGCAAATGTTTGCTCTTTTGGAGTGGACCTACAACTCTCTCAGGGAGTGATCGGTTTTTGCTCTCCACTTCTCTTCCTCTCTGAGCATTTAGGAACATTCAAAAGCTTTCTCTTCAACTTCAGAGATATTTCCTTCTGCCTGCTCCACTCTATTACTGAGGGATTCTACTGTATTATGAAGTTCTTTGAATACGTTTCTCATTTCTTTAAGATCTGCAATTTCTTTTTGCATTAGGTCCAAATCCTTGGAAATTTTGTCTTTGAATTCATTGATTTCTTGAGACACCTTTTGAACTACTCCCTGAATTTCTAATTCCAACTTTACTTCCATTCTATTAATCTTACTTGCCATCCATATTCTTCTATTTCTGACATTTCAGCCATTTGTTTATGAATGGCATCTTCTATTGTGTCTCCTTCGTCGTTCCCTGGGGGAGTTAACCTACTCTAATTATTCATATTGCCAGAGTTTTTCCACTGATTCTGCCCCATGATTATTTTTCACAGTTTGGTTAATGAAGCTGGTAGGGTGATATTGGACTGAGGGCTTCAGGAGTTGTAGTTAACCAGTCTTTACCAAAGAGCTGGGACTGGTGACTGTGGCTTTTTCCCTATAGCTTTATAAAGGTTCCTTTCAGTCCTGCAACCTGAGGCTCTGGGGACCTGATTGGTGTAATGGGGCTAGGTGGCTCTGTCTTATATTCAGCCAGCCTCTATCCAATCCTAGTGAATTGGTGACTTTGGGCTGAAATCTCAGCTAGCAAAAATTACAAGCAAGTAAGACCCCCCCCCCCCGCCACCGGCGACAACAAGAAGAGGAGAATCAGTTCCTCCCACTATAACACAATCAGGGCTCAAACTTGGAGGGTCCCATCATTGGCTGGCCCTGATCAAGAGTTCCAAACCAATTGTCCCAGGCAGACTAAGCACTGTTCAAGTGGGAGAGTTCAAAAGGTCTCCAGCAACCAGACAGCAGGGGTCCACTAACAGCTCAAGTATGACTTGCTCCAGTGCTCAGTGGAGTCAGAAAAGCCCACCCAGCAAAAGTGGTAGTCCAGGGGAGCTGGCATCTCCTTCCCTACCTTGCATCTCAGCCACGCCCAGTGACTGGTAACCTCATGGGGCTGTGGCGCAGTTCTCTCCAATGAGCAAGTGTATCAGGGATTTGCATCTGCCTGAGTCAAAGGGGAGTCAATAACTCCTCAGCTGCGCTGCCATACTCTGCCACCAACCGGCAGGAGGAGTTGAAGCCTGACTCCCTCTGGTACTCAATGGAAACTGGGGAGTGTTCTACCTGAGTTTGTTCCAAGCCGAGATTAACAATGCAGTGAATATTTTTCTCCCTCAGAGACCACGCTCTGCCCCAGCTGCGCTACTTCTCTGTTACTCCTGCAATTCTCAGAATTGAGGAGGTGTCTCTCCAAAATTTGACCCTGGAAGGATCATCCTACTATTGCTACTGCTGTGTGGCAGGTACCTCCACCCGCTGCGTGGCTTCCTGAGCCTCTGCCCGCTGCTGATACGCACTTTCACAGCACTGGGCAGGTCACCCTCCCCCTTGTGCCTTTCTCCACTTCTACTTGAGTCACAGTTTCAGCACAGCTGCGCTGCTGCAACCTATGTGATGCCCAGCCCTCGCAAAGAAGTGCCAGACACTCCAGGCTCTGCAAGGGGTGGGCTTCCAGACTGCTGAGGCTGGTGGATTGCTTGAGTTCACAAGTTCAAGACCAACCTGAGCAAAAACGAGATCCCTTCTCTACTAAAAATAGAAAACCTGAGGCAAGAGGATCACTTGAGCCCAAGTGGGAGGTTACTGTGAGCTATGATGCCACAGTACTCCACCCAGGGTGACAGCTTGAAAACGTCTCAAAAAAAAAAAAAACTTTGAAATATGTCATGTACCATATAACTCCCCCATTTAATGTGTACAGTTCAGCAGCTTTTAGCAGTATATTGACAGCGTTACTGAAGCATCACCACTGTGTAGCTTGAGAACATTTTCATCACTCCCAAAACAAACCTCTGTCTATGAGCTAACACTCTCCATTTCTTCCTTCCAAGACTCCTCTTCCTGGAACCACTAATCTACTTTCTATCTCTTTATGTATATTATTTGGAGGATTTCACATAAAGAAGTCATGTGCGAGTTTTTGTAAGCCCTCTCATTTTGTGACTATCACTGTCATTCCTTTTATTATTTATTTATTTATTTATTTTAAGACAGAGTCTCAAGCTGTCACCCTCAAGCTGTGCCATGGTGTCACAGCTCACAGCAACCTCAAACTCTTGGGCTTAAGCAATTCTCTTGCCTCAGCCTCCCAAGCAGCTGGGACTACAGGTGTCCACCACGGTGCCCGACTATTTTTTGGTCATAGTTGTCATTGTTGTTTGGCAGGCCCCTGGGGCTGATTCAACCCGCCAGCTGCTGTGTAAGTGACTGGAGCCCTAGCCGCTGAGCTACAGGTGCTGTGGAGCCTGTCATTCCTTTTAAACATACATGTTTGTTGAAGTCTAACTGAGATTCATCTGTGTATACATGCACTGATGTACATCTTCAATATTTTAATTTGGGTTATGCTAAATTTAAAGAGAGAGAGAAATTTATGAGAGAGAAATGATATCTTTTTTTCTTTTTTGAGACAGAGCCTCAAGCTGTCTCCCTTGGTAGAGTGCTGTGGCATCACAGCTCACAGCAACCCCAACTCCTGGGTTCAAGTGATTCTCCTGCCTCCACCTCCCAAGTAGCTGGGACTACAGGTGCCTGGCTATTTTTTTTTTTTTGGTTGCAGCCGTCATTGTTGTTCGGCAGGCCCAGGCTGGATTCAAACCTGCCAGCTCAGGGGCACATGGCTGGCACCTTAGCCTCTTGAGCCACAGGGGCTGAGCAGAGAAATGATATCTTTATACTAAGTGTTCCTGGTAAAAACAATGTATTTTTTCACTTACTTAACTTTGAAGTTCCCTTAGCAGCACTTTAAAGTTTTTCCTCATCTAGGTCCTGTGCATTTCCTACTGAAATTCATACCTAGCTATTTCATCTTTTTGATCTTTTTCTTTTTTCTACTTGAGTCTTCTCTTCTTCACTTACCAGAGTAGAGATAAGTGATTCTGTCAGTGCTTTCTCCATGTTATCTGTGTAATAGATGATTTTCCATGAAGTCTGAGAAAGTGTCTATCTCTAGCTGTGTGTGTGTATATCTCTATGTATATGAAACAATATAAAATTCACTACAAGAGCTAAATGGTTAGTGTTTCAGACAAATACGTCACAAGAATAAAGGATTTTGTTTCAATTCAATTTTTTTTTAAAAGTGCTGTTTGGCTGGGCCAGATTCAAACCCGCCACCCTCAGTATGTGGGGCAGGCACCCTACTCACTGAGCCACAGGCGCCACCTGATTTTTTTTTTTTTTTTTTTGGAGATAGAGTTTCACTTTGTCGCCCTGGGTAGAATGTGGTGGCGCCACAGCTCACAGCAACGTTCAACTCCTGGGCTCAAGCAATCCTCTTGCCTCAGCCTCTGGAGTAGCTGGGACTACAGGTGACCGCCACAATGCCTGGCTAGTTTTAGAGACAGGGTCTCGCTCTTGCTCAGGCTGGTCTCTAGACAGTGAGCTTAGACAATCCTCTCGACTTGGCCTCCCTGATGTTTCAATTCAAATTTTAAAGTGAGGGAAACAGAAAAAAATGACAATATTTTGTCTTCCAGAGTTTCCTGGGAATTTATTTCTCTCCTTTCTTACTCCCATCCTCATTTACTACTTCACAGTTACACTGGCTGTGGTCCATCTGTGGAAGAACCAAGTTTCTTCTGATTTGGGGCCTTTGCACTTACATTACACTTTTTCTTGCTTGGGAATGATTTCTCCTTGAGTTTTTGGTTCTCCATCAGATCTCAGTTTAAATGTAAACTCCTTTCCCAACTTCCTAAGTAAACTTGGCTTCTGCCACCATCATTAGTTCACTGAACTTCATTTCCTTCCGAGCACCCATCACAACCTAATGACATCTACCAACTCCTTCCTCCAGTGCTTGCCAGAGTACTAAATACTTTTCAGAAAAAATGAATTCGGATAAAGAGAATTTAATTAGAAAGTACATGTTAGGCACAGGTCCCGGAGTATTTTACACGCAGTTCTCAAGGCCACGCATTCAGAACTCCAGCCTCTTTTAATCTCAGAAATTTCCTCCTCCCACCCGAGGACCCAGCCCCGCCTTCCGCAACAGCACCCCTCGGGCTCCCAGAGCCGGAGCGGCATTCACCCGTAGAGGCTTCCGGGAATGGAACGCATGCGCGGTAAGATGCGCACATGCGCAATACTCGCGCAGCCACCGCGGTCCTGGTCCAAGGCCCTGGTGGTACCTCAGTTACCGTGGTCGGGACGCGCTCGGCTATGGCGGAGGGCACCGGGGAAGTGGTCGCAGTGCCGGCCTCTGGGGCTGCCAACGGCCTCAATAATGGGATAGGCGGGACCTCCACGCCGTCCAACAACCCGCTGTCCCGCAAGCTGCATAAGATCCTGGAGACGAGGCTGGACAACGACAAGGTAACTGAGGCCAGTGGGGGCGGGGTTCTGGCTCCCCGGCGGGGCTGCGGCGGCCGGGGGCGGCTTCCGTCCTGCAGCCGCTGCAGGCTTCCTGCCGCCGAGGGAGCCGCTCCTCAGCCTGAGCGGAGCCGGTGAGAAGGGGGAGCTCGGGCAGCCCCCGGAAGAGCCAAGGGGTTTCTCGGGTGCGCTCCCTGCTTAGAAAGGTTCCTCGAAGACTCCCTGGATGGGGTCGGTGGACCGTGGTGCCTCGAAAAGTGGCGCCCATCCACTCCTGGAGGTCTTCGGGGGTCTGAGCCGGAGTGGAGAAGAGCACCGGGCAGGATCCGAAACCAATGCGGGGGGAGCAGATTCCAAGATGAGGCAGTGGATTGGGGAGTGGCAGGAACCTGAGAACAGTGGTCCGCGGGGAGAGAGCGTTTTCCTGACAAGTGACAACACAGCCACAGCCGGAAAGAACTATTACGCTTCTACCCTTGGCTCACGTGAAATCATAACTACTGACTTTGTTGTTAGCTAAACAGGGTGTATGATTTATGGGGTCAGGCTGTATTTCTTTACAAGATGAATTGTCCACATGCCCTCCCAAGAACCTCCAGAAAGTTTAGCTGAACTTTCCAGCTAGCCAGTTCTCTCTTTTGTGTCCCCAAGTGGTTAGATAAATTGGCCATGCCAGTGTCACCTAAAAAAGGTATGTAAATATAAAAACTTTACAGGGAATCTAGGGGTAACTGAAAATAAGCTGTTAATAAGACTCCTGAGAGTAAAAATAAAAATAATAATAATAATAATAACAACAACAACATTACAGTGTAATGAAAAGGGTCTTTGGCCACCACTTACTACAAGATGTAACCCCTAAATGTGTGTGCTATGATTTGAATAAGACCCTTAACTTCTCTGAGCTGCTGTTTAGGAATTGAGAACACAGCTAGTAACTTCTTATGGTTGTTCTTAGCACAATACCCAACACTTACTGTTTCTTAACGAGTGTTAATTTTATCATGCAATTTGTTGTGTTTAATGTGTCTAGTGTGATATTATCTCGTTAAATACAGCTACTCTTAACCCTGTGCAAAATAAGACATGGAGAGAATGCAGCTGGGTTAAGTAAGTTCTGTAACTAATAACTGGTGGAGCTATAACCTGCACCTGAGTCTGTGTGATTTTTGTTTATTCTGCATTTATTGACTACTACTTTGAACCAAGTATTAGGACATTTAAAGGCTGTAGTGAAAAGAAAGTGCTTTATTTTATGGATTTCTTTTTTGTACCATTACTTGTAAATACATTTTTGCTCTCTCAAATATTAAATTCAATTTAAATAGTTTTACTGTTTTTGTCAATTCAGCCAATATATTAACATAACAGACATAAAGGGATAGAATATATATGTTAGTTGAATTGTAGAAATACCTATCTGTAGAACTTAGGATACTATTGGATGTCTGGGATCTCTGCTCTCTCCTCAATCTGTATTCTCTTTGTAGAAGGAATCCTTTTTTTGTTGGTTTTTTGCAGTTTTCGGCTGGGGCCATGTTTGAACCCACCACCTCAGGTATATGGGGCTGGTGCCCTACTCCTTTGAGCCACAGGCACCACCCGATAGAAAGAATCTTTTACTTTTATGGTTTAAATACCAACAAGCATTATGACTCTCAAATTTATAACCCGGTTCCTGACATCTTAGTGGGGCTCCACATTTGCAGAATCAGCTGTCCATTTATACCTCCAGTTGGGTACCTGGTTGATATCATAGTAACACAACATGTGCAGAACTCTGGATTTTTCCTTAAACTGGTTGCCCCCTTATGGTTAGCAAAAACATTGCCATTTATCCACTCAAACAAGAAGCATATAAGTAGTTTTTGGTTCCTGTCATTTTGACACGTCCTCTAGGCTTGACCTCGAAAAACATGTTTTTGACATATCTTTTTCATCTGCGTTGCTGCCATCTTGGTCTAAGCCACTAACACACCTTGCTTGGATTTTAATTTTCTCCTACCTGCTTTCTCTCTTGTACCCCTCAACCATTCATTGTCCTTACAAAGCTGGAATAAACTTTTAAACATACAGTGCATATTGCTGCTTAACATCTTAACAGTTTCTCCTGCCTCCAGTCACGCTGGCCTATCCACTGCTTTGGGGTTTTTGTACTCACTGTTTTCTCTGTTTGGGGAAGACTTGACCCCTATTACTGGCTGTTGTCTGCCACTCAGGTTTCTGTTCAAAAGTTCCCTCAGAGAGGGCTTCCTCTGTGAGTTCTGTTTCCAGTTACTCATTCCTTGTCTATAGGCTACCAGTGGTATTTGTTCTTATGTAGATCCTTCCAGGTATAATTTATGTATCTACAAGTAAATATGCATGTGTGTATTCCTTTTTATGTTGTAACAGTTGGTATTATAAATTTACTTTGGTGTTTTACTTACCGTATCTCAAAGCTCATACCATGTAACTATATAAAGAATTTTCTCTTGTTAAAAAATGGATATATCATTCTATAGGTAGGCATTTATACTATTTACAGTCTTTACAATTTCAAGCAATTCTGCAATGAATGATCATATACACATACACACACACATATATACATAGTATTATGCAAAAGTAAGTATACCCTTCCTGTGTTCTGGAGATATGTTCACTGTTCAGTAATTTGAAGGTTAGCCAATATTTTTTGGATTATTTAATAGAAATTATTTGAAAATGATCTCATTTTATTTTAGATTGAGATTAGGAAACATTTAAAAGTCAATCCCAATGACTTTCTTCTCTTACCAATTGTGTAGGAAATGTTGGAAGCTCTCAAAGCACTTTCAACCTTTTTTGTTGAAAATAGTTTGCGGACTCGAAGAAATTTACGTGGCGATATTGAACGTAGAAGTTTAGCCATCAATGAAGAATTTGTAGGCATTTTTAAGGAAGTAAAGGAGGTATGTAAACTCTTTCACATAGCATTTATTGAGAATGTACTGTATGCCTGGCTCTGTGCTGAATATTTTTTAATCAGGTTGATATATTTACTGTTTATATACTTTGTCCAGATAGAAGGCTTAGCTACTCCTACTGTATCTTGGTCTCTGTTTATACTACGCATTACTATGATTTCAGAATCAGATTTCCACTAATGCTGGTTCTTAGAAAGTCGTATTATTGTTCTAGGAGATTATCTTAGGAATTTTATCTTTTTAAACAAAAAATAAGATGTCTTTGAATGGCTTTCCAATAGAACTGTCCCCACTTTGATAACCATTTCTCCATTGGAGATTAGTTAGAATTGAGTTACTTTTTTACTGCATCTTAAATTATGAACTTTTCAGATTAAAGTCAATTATTTCAATGCATAACTAATGATTTGTCATACTTGAGAATATAATCTACTCACTATAGAATGAAAATAAATTTTATGTACATGATTATATTTTATTATGTAATATTTATTAATTATGTTAACGGGTTGTAATTTTTTTTAACACTTTTTTCTTTTGGTTGCAGTTTGGCCGGGGTTGGGTTTGAACCCACCACCCTCAGTATATGGGGCCGGCATGCACCCTACTCACTGAGCCACAGGTGCCACCCCTATATGTTGTAATATTTTTATGTGAGTTATGGAAATGTTACATATAGTTTCAATGAATGCTTAGCAAAACATTTTTTATTTTTTTGAGACAGAGCCTCAAGCTGTCCCCCTGGGTAGAGTGCTGTAGCATTACAGCTCACAGCAACCTCCAACTCCTGGGCTCAAGTTAGTCTCTTGCCTCCGCCTCCCAAGTAGCTGGGACCACAGGCGCCCGCCACAACACCCGGCTATTTTTTGGTTGCAGCCGTCATTGTTGTTTGGCGGGTCCGGGCTGGGGATTCGAACCCGCCACCTTAGGTGTATGTGGCTGGCGCCTTAGCCGGTTGAGCCACAGGCGCCGAGCCTTAGCAAAACATTTTTAACAATTTGGTAGGATTTCTTCGACTGAGAACTAACAATCTAGAAGGTTAAAGGAAAAAAGCCATATTAGCAAAGAACAAATCCAGATTGTGGTCTTTTCAATACCATTTCCTACTCAAAGGAACAATCTTATCTTATAAGTACTAGAAAGCAAGGATGCTGCCTGAGACCCACTGGGTAAGTGTCAGAAGGACTCTGGAGCTAATTTGAAGAGACTGACCAAAGATTAGATAATTTGACTGTCAATAAAAATATCTGCAGTGGACTGAAACACATCAACACGAAGTTCATGAGTTCACAATGGTATTGAAATAGAATGCTCATTGGTTATCTGCGGTGAGTGTAAGGAAACCATCTTCTTATTTTGAAAAGTGCTAAGTAAAAGGAAAGAGACAGTCACTTTCTCATCTTTTATACCAACTTAATACAGTTTTTGAGGTGTGGTGTCTCTTTGTAGAAACAGTCCAGCTAATAAATGAAGAGGAAATGGTAGTAGAATTAGAAGATTTGAAACCACTGTTGACTTTATGGATCTAGCTCAGAACTTTTCAGCCTTGGCAGTATTAACATTTGGGCCAGTTAATTGTCAGGGACTGTCTCTGTGCTGTAGGATGTTAGCAGCATCCCTGGCCTCTACCCACTAGATGCCTTAGGCAGTTGTGGCAACCAAGAATGTGTCCAGACTGTCAGATACCTCCCAGGGGCAAAATTGCTAGGGTTGAGAACTACTCATCTAGCTATTGGTCATCACTGGGTGCTAACCGAAACAACCAGGTATGTGACTCCTGATAAAGATATACAGCATCATGCAGGAAGAATTTTTGCCAGAAAAATTGAACTGGAATATAATCAAGCTTTTAAATCTAATTGCCAGTTTCTAGGCAGCACTGGGGACAGAGAGGTATGTTCACACCATGAAGATCTCGGGAAAATCTGGAATGCTGGGAGGTGTACAAGCAAATGAACTGGTGGTTTCTTCAACAAATAAATTATAAGAGAAATAGGGAGAAGTGAGAATCTATAGAAATGTAGAGAAATATCAACAAATTGCTATTGAATCTTATTTGGTTCTGGAGTTGAACAAATTATTTAAAAAAGAGGTTACTGGGAAATTTGAATAATGATTAAATATTTGATATTAAAAGATTATTAAATGTTTAGATGTGAAAAAGGTATTTTTTTCTAATTCCTCTTAGAAGAGCATATTGATTTGTTTATGGATGAAATGATCTATCTAGAATTTCTTTTTTTTTTTTTTTGAGACAGAGTCTCACTATGTCACCCTGGGTAGAGTGCCATGGCCTCATTGTCAAGTAAGTGGGACTGCAGGTGCCCACCACAATATCTAGTGGCTGAAAAACTAGGTTTGGCTAGTTTTTCTATTTTTAGTTTAGATGGGGTCTTGCTTTTGCTCAGATTGGTCTCAAATTCCTGAGATCAAGTAATCTACCCACTCATCCTCTCAAAGTGCTAGGATTACAGGCATGAGCCACTGAGCCCAGCTTGGAATTTCTTTTAAGAATTTAATTTTGGCTTTGTGCCTATAGCTCAATCGGCTAAGGTGCCAGCCACGTACACCTAAGGTGGCGGGTTCGAATCCCCAGCTCAGACCCGCCAAACAACAATGACGGCTGCAACCAAAAAATAGCCGGGCATTGTGGCGGGCGCCTGTGGTCCCAGCTACTTGGGAGGCGGAGGCAGGAGACTCGCTTGAGCCCAGGAGTTGGAGGTTGCTGTGAGCTGTAGTGCCATGGCACTCTACCCAGGGGGACAGCTTGAGGCTCTCTCTGTAAAAAAAAAAAAAAAAAAAAAAAAAAGAATTTAATTTTTAGGGGAGAGGAAAAGTGGTTGGGGAGAGAACTAAAAGGTGAATAAGAGAGTAGCGAAGCTAGGTGATGGGTATATGAGTGTTTCATATTCTCTCAACTTTCAGATTTTTTTGAAAATTTATTATTATCTTTTAACCAAACCTAACATTTATTGAGAACCAAAGAAACCAGTTGGCTTAGAGGCCAGATTTCAATTCATCAAACTTCAGCTGGGGGTGAGGGTGGGAAGCCCTGAAGTTACCCTCCTAGGGAGGAGCCAGCTCTGGGAGAGAGGGGCTGTCAGACCTACAGAGCCTCCCTGGGGTCTCTGGGTGATGAATGTGTGAAGGGGTAGTAGAGAAAGAAGATGGTGGCACCCCGAGGCATGGCTGTGAGCAGCAAGTGGCAGGGGAGGCTGCTAAGCTGGTGGCCATCCCGGGTGAGACAGGGAGTATATGGTCCATTCTCAGGTGTTGACAGGGGCAGGGAGCTGAGGTCAGGCAGCAGCTCCTGGTGCAGGGCCAGGCCACTCTATTTCAGGGCAGTAACTTCAGCTGAATGCTTAGACTTCTCTAGAACCACACTAGCAGGTGAAATATTTGATTTTGATGTTGCAGAAGCGGTCACCATAGTCAAACCCTAGCTCCTCCCCGGTCCAGATGTGTCTGGAACTGAAGAGCTATGTGTGGAAATTGAAGGTCTTGGTGTAGCATGACGACCCAGACAGGAAGGATGTTGAGATCATATGAGTGGTTGATGAAGCAGCTGGTGTTGCTGTAGTAACCAGCATCAATGCAGTACACTTCTCCATCCTTGTTGTCTAAGTTAGAGAGATAAGAATCATCCTCTATCACATCAGCCTCAGCATTGCAGATCAGCTCCCCAACGTGCTTGCAGATGAAGGTCCCTTGGGGGATGGTCTGCAGGTCGCAGACCCCCAGCCCATCTTGGCTGTTTCTTAGAGTTTCAGCTGTACCTTTGTGCCGCTCTGCGTGACGTGGTTCTTTCAGTTTCTCTAGCAGGAGCATACCTGGTTACACTGGAAAATCTCATTAAATTCCTGGAGAAGCCACCCGTCCTTGTCTTATCAGCACCAGATGCTGAACGGGTCACACTGGCCACATCTCTATATGCTCAGTGCCACAGAGGGGGGATGTTGTGTCCAACATTCATGATGGACGTTTCACAGTTCTGTGAGATATATGTGTAATCCCTGGGGGCAGGGCTCTCCATTGACACAGGGAACGGGCACATTCTTATAGCCCAGAGCCATATCCCAACAGATGATCTTCTCAGTGCCAATGGCTCAATTTCTCACCCCGAGCTGGAGCTTGCAGTTGAGTTGCAGTGCACACCACACGTCAGAGCCCTTTGGTGTCAGGTCCCACGCTGTGATTCCCTCCTTGTTCCACAGGTCAGGGCTGGCCCCATGGGTTAGAAGCAATAGCACACAGTTGTGGTAGCTTTCTCGGGCATGATGTGCAGGGGTGTGCCCCCATGATAGTTGACAGCATGGAGGTCACAGAAGGATGTCGTCAGTGGCAGTGCTGGCAGTGATGGAGGCCCAGTGCAGGCAGATGTTTTCCTCATTGTCAGTGAGGGTGGCGTCACCAACCCATGTCAGCAGTGCGCGGACCACCTCAGTGTGCTTATGCTCTGTGGCTCAGATGACGGATGTCCACCCACCACTGTCCTGGGTATTGATATCCACCTGTCCTGTGCTGAGCAGCAGGCTGATCATCTCTAAGTTCCCAGTAATGGCTGCATGGTGGAGAGAGGTGAAGTCCTCCTCCTCCTTGTTGTAGACACAGCTGCACCGTGTAGCATGCCACTTCCACCTCCTTCAGCGATGTCCGCTGCTGTTTGCCCACTGCACTGATGTTAGCTCCAGCCTGTATCTTGGTACAGAGGTTGCAGTGCCGGCTGGTGGGGTCACCCCATCACCCTGGAGAATGATCACCTCCTGGGCCTCAGAAGCATCCTCCCACAGTGGGGACAGAAGACCATGCCATTCATCTGTAACACACAGGCCTTACAGAAGTAGTAGTCCACACAGTAGTTGGGGCGACACTCCAGGAAGGTGCCTGCTGTGCAGAAGTAGCCACAGCCTGGGAAGCAGTGGTGTTTGACCATGTGAGCATGGTGGGCCTCACAGAGCACCATCAGTGCTACACAGCTGGGTGGCCTCATGGTCTCCTGCTTAAGGACTTGCAGCGTTGGAGCCCAACAGCCCTCGGTCTGCACTCTCAGTGGCCATGCACTTGTGTTCTGCTCTCTCGCTGACTTGGTTGACCTTGGGTCTTTTCATTTGGCAGCTGCAGAGGGCCAACTCCTCAAACTCTCTCTGTCTCCAGTGAGGATGTGTCACGGGACACCCTGCATGGTTGGGGAGAGGGTTCCTCGCTGGGCAGCTCCAAGGACCCCAGAAGGCCTTCCATGTACTGTGCATACTGGAGCCTGTGCAGCCCACACCATTCACCCCTTGAGGCTCCTTAGCCCGTGGAGATTCCCACTTCCTCTGTTTATGGGAAGGCTTCACTCATGGGTTGTCCTTTTGGCATTTCTTCTTGGGTTTGCACCAGCCACTGGAACCACTCCAATCTGACTGACTCCTTGACTCTTCATCTTCCTCTTCCTTCTCTTCTTCCTCCTCTTTCTCCTCCTCTTCACTGAGTTGTTCAGCCAGAACTTCAGCTTCAGACTAGCTATCAGAGTCCGCATGCTTGTTGACAGAGTAGGAATTGTACTATGGTTGTCACCTACTACAGTCTCCCACTCCTCCAGAGGCCCAGGGTCCCCCATCTGCAGGGTTGCTTCTCCTAATGTTTGGGCAGAACCCACCTTCGATGAGTTCAGGATCATTCTTTTGGTTGCATCTAAAGTCACCTTCCCCAGGACTGTATATTGTCACTCATGCAGAAATGCTACACTTCGGGCAGCCACTTCTCAGGGCTTGGGGGCTGTTCATTTCCTGGTTTGGACATGATTTTCTGGGCTCTGTGGACCTTGGGCTCCCTCCACGGCTGGTAGTGGCTGGAGAGGGTTCAGTTCCCTGGGCCCCAGGAATACTCAGCAGCCTCATAGCCAAACTCTAGACTGATGGAAGTAATTCTGATCCCTGTCATTGACATCTTGGCCCACTAGGATAGGCACCCCCTTTGCCAGGGGAAGAAAGGAATGACTTTTTGGTATGGTCCAGCAGGATCCGGCCTCCGTGGAGGTTCCCATCTCCATCGAGATTCTCTGATTCATTCCCAGTGAGCATGTCACCCCTACAGGGGTGTCAGCCCCCTCATCATCAACGGTGACAGTGACAGAAGCTGGAGATGAGGGTCTAACAGGCTCCAGGGAGTCTCCCTGGCCTTGGGCAGTGTCTCCTTACTAGGAGGGTTATCCCCCTAAAAGCCACAAACTCTTTCAGTAGCTCTTCTAGTCTCCTCCCACAGCAGTGCCCCGTTTCAGTGGGAGCTTCCCTCTGGGAGGGGTGGCAAGGAATGGGAGGCTAGTCAGCCCAGTAGGGAGATGGTGGACCCATGATGCCTGGGCCCTGAGAAGAGAGACCTGGGGCCTACCTCTTCCTCTGTGGAGGGCCCCCTGGCGCAGCCTCTGGTGCCTCTGGTGCCTAGAGGGGCTGCACATTCCCTCCCCCTGGACTCAGATCAGCTCCCTCCGTCTTAGCAGACCCAGTATCTCTGGGACAGAGAGGAGAGGAGGGGAAGGAGGCGTCAGTCCCCCTTGTCCCCCAGGTCACGGCACCAACCCCTCCAGCACCCACTGCCCCCCAGTGTAGTGGACTGTCCCTTGTGTCCCTTGTGCGTCATGCTGGGACCCTGGTGCCTGCTCGGGCAGCCAGTGGCTGCACATGCCCTCTGTGTCTACTCTCCCCACCTCCCACCCCTGGTTCCTTCCTCAAAAAGTTTTTATAATAAAAGTTTTGTTTTTTTTTAAGTTTATCATATACTGATTGTATTTTACAACCTGTAATTTTAATTATGGGGAAAATTCAATGTAAATTCAAATAAAGACTTTTCCAGAAATATAAGCGTTCTTGAATTATATTTTAGCCAAGCCCTGCATTTAAGTCATATACTAAGAGGGATAATTTATTAATTAATTAAATCCATTCATTGCGTTATGGTAGCTAAAGTGTATTACGATAGGAGTAATTATTCTTAATCTAACTGGCAGATAATACTGCAGCTCATTCTTTAAAGGTTATACAATGAAATTTAAGGAAATAGTGAGATTAGTTTGCTTAGGTGTCTGGTTGTTGCTGATATTAATTGATATTTTGAAATCATGCATCTTTTATTGTTTATCTCAAAGCAGTTTAGGACTTAATATTTAATGTTAAGTTTAATATTCGATATATGTCTTATTTATAGTAAGATATAGAGTAGCGTTTGAAAATACTTGGTGGTATACTTTTTATAATTCAGAATTACTTTGTTGAGAGAAGGGAAACAAACTCTTAATTCTAGAAGAATTCTTGTTTGAAAATACTTGGTGGTATACTTTTTATAATTCAGAATTACTTTGTTAAGAGAAGGGAAACAAACTCTTAATTCTAGAAGAATTCTTGTCTTAATTCTTGTTCTCGTAAATGATTTCCTAATCATACTTTGTCCTCATATTTTGTTTATAGCTCTGTTGACTGTTTTCTTATCTCTTGACCTCATTAAACTGCCATGTTTTTTGAAGGTCTGAGCTCTGTGTTGACAGGGACAGCAGTAAGACCCTGTCTACCCCTGAAACTTCCCTACCTTAGTAGATAGTAGTGCAAACCCAGTTGTCATCTTGTGATATGATCATATTTTTATATTAAAGCATTAACTTTAGTAAAGAGTAGAGAAAGGTTTGGAGATGCTGGAGGTAGAGCCTGGGAGACCTATTTTAGGACTTTTTTTTTTTTTCTCCAGGTGATCATTAGCATTTTTTAATTAAAGCATATACATTGTTTTCTATATATATAATGATTTCGCATGCTTAATAGACTACTTAATGATAAAGTGTAAACATAACCTTTATATGAACCAGGAAACCAAAAACATGTGTATGACTCACTTTATTGCAATAGTTGCTTTATTGTGGTTGTCTGAAACTAAATCTGCACTTTCTTCAAGGTATGCTTATACCTAGAGGAATGGGTAGGCTACTGGCATTTGAGCTCTCCTCCCAAACTAGCATTTTTCTAAAGTATTTCTGAGGAACGAATTCAGGGTTACACTCCAAAATAATTATCTTTTGGGCAACTATCGTACATTAGCTATTGAATAGATGGTTGATATGGCCGTTGTTAATCGGAGGAAGTGAAAATATGAAATATTACTGTCATTTTATACAGACAACATGATTATGAATATACAAAATAGAAAGAAATGTACAAACCACAAAAAAATAAGATAATTCATCAAGGTCATAGGATGAATGGCCATTGGTGTATACATATATATGTTTTTTTTTTTTTTTTCACTACCAAAGTTCCCTTATCCATTAATATTGGAGCAGTAGGCTGTTAGGAGTAATACAATACCTTTTGTTAATCCGTGTAGGAGAGAACAATTGCCCTGAATGAGAGTAGTAGCTGTTTGAGTGGTAAAAAAGGAAGTGGATAAGACGTATCCGTTAAGGGGATATAAATAATAGAATTTAGGGACCATTTAAATTCATGTGTCTATTGAAGGAGCTGAAGGTGGAAATGTTAGTTTAGTTTTTACATTTGATTGTTTTTATTGATTAGAATTTACAAATAATTCATTATAGAAAAGATAGAAAATAATGTCAGAAATAGAAAAAATTACCTATGATCTATCACCTGGAAATAACTCTACTCAGTATTTTATTGTATGGCCTGCCTTTTCTTTTTCTGTACATAAATAGGTGTTTCTTCTAAAAAAAAAATCAGGAGATAGTATATATATTATTGTTATTTATGATGTCTTAAACCTTACGTGGCTATATTTCCATAAACACGTATATGTCCACATATAATTATATGTAATTAATGTAGGCACAGATTTCTCTTGTGTGATTGGAAACATTTCACATTTTCCATTTGTTCTGGGCAGTTCTTTTTTTTTCCTTATCTTTATTTTATTTTATTTTTATATTAAATCATAGCTGTGTACATTAATATAGTCATGTTCTGGGCAGTTCTGTTGATCATCTTTGTGTATATTGTTGTACACTTACCATATTAATTCCCTAGGACAAATTCTTATTAGAATTATTGAATAAAGAAGTATTCATGTTTTTAAAGCATTTGAGTTTCCCTATTGTCGTACCCTAAAGGAATGGTCTGCTTTCTTTACATCTTTTCTAAAGTTGATGTCACTCTTTTTAATCATATCCAATCTTAAATATGCGATCTCTTGTCATGCTTTGACGAAAATAACCAGGGTACTAGAACAAGGATTTTGTGGAGAGAAACTTCATCTTAGGGTATTTATAGTATCTGATGTTATTTTTTTCTTTTTAGGAACTTAAAAGCATAAGTGAAGATGTTCAAGCAATGAGCAATTGTTGTCAAGATATGACAAATCGGCTACAGGTATTAATTATATAATGTCTACATTTTAACATAGCTCCTACTATTACACAAAGATGCTTTTGAAAATTGTTAGATAGGGCTCAGCGCCTGTGGCTCAAGTGGCTAAGGTGCCAGCCACATACACCTAAGGTGGCGGGTTTGAATCCAGCCCAGGCCTGCCAAAACAACAATGATGGCTGCAACCAAAAAATAGCCGGGCATCGTGGCTGACGCCTGTGGTCCCAGCTACTTGGGAGGCTGAGGCAGGAGACTCGCTTGAGCCCAGGAGTTGGAGGTTGCTATGAGCTGTTATGCCATGGCACTCTACCCAGGGGGATAGCTTGAGGCTCTGTCTCAAAAAAATAAATAAATAAATAAAATTGTTAGGTCTACAAAATGTATGGATGTACATTTTGTTCATTCATTTAATACATCATACCCATAGGAAGTTTGAATATAAATATGCTTGTTTTTTAAAACTGTAACTATCTTTGTGTTTCTTTTTTTCTTTTGTTTTTTTTTGGCCGGGGCTGGGTTTGAACCTGCCACCTCCAGCATATGGGACCAGTGCCCTACCCTTTTGAGCCACAGGCGCCACCTATCTTTGTGTTTCTTTGGGGGATGGTTTATTTATATTATTCAGTTAACTTCATATTTTGGTTTAGTCAGTAGAGAGGTAGTTGTGTAGAATTTTGAATCTTTCAATCCTGTAATATCCCAGAAGTCTAGCAGGAATGAATTTTTTAGTATTAAGCCTTACAAATAAGTTCATACTAAAGCTGTGCCTGCTAAAAACCCAGATAAATTCCATTCCTGCTTAGCCTAATAAAGTCCCGGGAAAATATGTATAATTTTAGATCAGTTTATTAAGGCAATCCTAAACTTCTAGTTTGGCTGTAGAATCAGGATTTGGCCTAATTACACCTTCATTCATCTAATTCTGAAACTGTGTGTGGAACAGGCTCCCCCCCAAGGGTCAATTGGGGTATGTCTTCTATTTTCATATAGTTTATTACCAAGCATACTTACATTTCTTGAGATTCTCCTGGAACCACTGACAGCCACAGTGATTCTAGGACAAATCATTTGTCTGTACAAAGGTGGAAATGGAACTTGAAAGCAAAATGAAATTAGGAAACATAAGCATTTGAAGAAGTTACTGGATTTGAAGTCTAACCATTCTGAAAGAATATCTTGGGAGCTGTCTTGTTCAGTTCTATTCCTTAAAAGTTAGTAATGCCTTACCTTTAGGTTTAAGTCTCTTTTCTCAGGAAATCTATTTGCTAAGCCTGTAATTTGGCTGCAAGGAACACAGACTCAGAATAGCTTCACTGGTGGTGGAGGTTGGGGCTCTGTTAACAGGATGCCTGGGAAACAATAAAATAGTTTCTCTGGCAACCTGAGGACTCAGAACTGGGTGCATATAGCTCTAAGGCAGCTTCAGAAACCTTAGCTTGGCTCTTTATTGTGAAGTTCTAGCATGAAAACATCCCGGTATCTTCAGGTGTTTGCTCTAGTATTTCCTCTTCAATAGGCTGACTAACCCTATATTTTATGTGTTTTTGTCTATCAGTAACTTAATTTATACATAAGTCTGGCTCATTTCATATCCCTTGAAGGCGTGGATGCTGTGTTTCTCCCCACCTCAGGACCACTGTCTTGTCTTCTCCTTGCTTACTGCCTTGTTTCTGTTATATTTTCCAGTTCAGGTCTTGGAGAAAGAATCTCCTTTGCTGCACTTGTCATTTGTTTAAATTCACTTCATAAATCTTTGGCTAATCTTTGGACAGATGCTTTTCCATCAAGTTTTCCCTCCTCATCCTTTCAGCTCTGGCTTGTGGAAGGGAGCATTGCTTTGTATGAAACTTAGTCAGAAACAGTCCTGGGGCTATCTCTAGTTTTCACCAGCACTCTCTATGGCACATAGTTTGTTATATTCCAACTCTCAACCTGTTAGCTACATCTCAGGCATTCCTGTTGAGTTCACACCAGCATTTCAGTGACCTCACGTAGCACCTACCCCATTTGGAATATTTCAGTTCAGCACATTCATAATTGAAGACATGTTTATTGTCCTTAACCTACTCTTTCATTGCTTCTATTGCACTTAAAAGCATCATGAGCTATTCATTTCTTCAGTCAGCACCCGGATCCCTTTTCCATTCTTATAAGCCTTAGAATTGTGTGTATACTGAGAAATCCAAGTGGTTCCTCTAATTAAGGTAGTGTGTGAACCTTGAAACATCTATCTATTGCATTTACTTGGGTCATTTTTGAATTTTTGAGTTCTGTAGAATGAACTCATTTGCTTTGAACTTCAGCAAGTGCTACTGTTTGTTTTCTGGTATGTAATAAAATTGGAATATGCTGATGTTAGATATGTTTATAATTTTAGGCAGCAAAGGAACAGACTCAAGATTTAATAGTAAAAACCACTAAGCTTCAATCGGAAAGGTAAGTTTTTCTTCATAGTTACCTCTTCAATAATTTGGAGATTAAGTAGAAAGAAAATTACAGATTATTTAAAACAGAATAAAAAACATGGTTCAAAATGGGTATAAGACATAAGCTATTATCCAGTAGTAACTTAAACATGAAACAGTAGTTTAGGAGTATTAAAATTGATATTGAGGTAGAGAGATTATTCTTTCTTTGGAATAGAGGTGATATTGTGTTATTTATTATTTGCTGTGGAGTTCAGAAATGATGGCTTTTTTTTTTTGAGACAGAATCTTACTATGTCACCCTCGGTAGAGTGCCATGGCATCACAGCTCACAGCAACCTTAGACTCTTGGGCTTAAACAATTCTCTTGCCTCAGCCTCCCAAGTAACTGGGACTATAGGTGCTCGTCACAATGCCCAGCTGTTTTGTGGTTGTAGTTGTCATTGTTGTTTGGCAGGTCTGGGCTGAGTTCGAACCTTCCAGCTCTGGTGTATGTGGCTGGCACCCTAACCGCTGAGCTACAGGCGCTGAGCCAGAATTGATGGCTTTTTAAAATGTAAATGTTAAGGCCGGGCGAGGTGGCTCACACCTGTAATGCTAGCACTCTGGGAGGCCGAAGCGGGCGGATTGCCTGAGCTCACTAGTTTGAGAGCAGCCTGAGCAAGAGTGAGACTCTGTCTCAATTTAGCCAGGCATTGTGAAGGATGCCTATAGTCCCAGCTACTCAGGAAGCTGAGACAGGAGGATCACTTGAGCCCAAGAGTTTGAGGTTGCTGTGAACTGTGATGCCACGGCTCTCTACCAAGGGTGACAAAGTAAGACTCTGTTTCAAAAAAGTAAATAAATAAATAAAATGTAAATGTTTTCAGATTATTAGTAATTTCAGTATTACTATTTTTTTCACAATCACTATCTTTCTTTTTGAACTATGATTAATCCCCTCTGGTATAATTGTAATTAAAACTGTATACATTTTCCTATAGTTTACACAAGTAGGTATTCTATTTGTTGACTGAGTGAAGGTAAGTACAATGTGGATGAGTGTAAGTATTGTATTAAATGTTGTGAAAACTCATTAACAGTAAGGTAAAACTAATTAACAGTGCATCTCTCGTGTCCAGAGTAATGTTGAAAAGGGTCAGCATTGTACAGTGAGGCAGCATCTATGTACTGCCAGGTAGTTGGGTATATCACATAAATGTTTGAGTATTCTAGGTGTTATATCAGTAATGTGGAGATATTACTACCATAACTGCTCACTATAGAGTAGCTCAGACCAGAGACTACAGCCACATATCATCCAGGTTGCTACTTGTTTTTATGAATAAAGTTTTATTGGAATACAGCCACGCTTATGTGTTTATATGCTGTCTATGGCTTCTTTTACCCTACTGTTGCAGAATAGTGTATTTACAACAGAGACCATATTTTAGGCCTGCAAAGCCTAAAATATTTACTACCTAGACTTTAGAGAAAAAATTTGTCAATCCTGATGAGACTAATGTTTTTCAGATTTCAGATCAAGACCAGTAGGTTGTAAAATTACTTCAGCAGATCATAACTAGCTTTAAAAAGTGAGTTAGGATAAAATCAAATAAAAAATAGCTTGGCTAAATATTATTTTGTGCAGCCTTTGTTTTAGTTTCTGGTAATAGTTTAAAATGTACATTTTTTGTTTTTTTTCCTTTGAGACATAGTCTCACTTTGACACCCAGACTAGAGTGCCATGGTGTTAGCCTAGCTCACAGCATCCTTGAGCTGCTGGGTTCAAGTGATCCCCTGCTTTAGCCTCACAAGTCACTGAAGTATCTGGGACTACAGGTGCCCTGTACCCTGCCTGGCTATCTTTTTTTTTTTTTTTTAGTAGAGATGGGTGTCTCATTTATTCTTGCTCAGTCTGGTCTCAAACTGCTGACCTCAAGGGGAACTCCTGCCCTCAAGTGATCTTCCTGCCTGGGCCTCTCAGAGTGCTGGGGTTACAGGTGTGAGCCGCTGTGCCTGGCCTAAGAATACTTTTGTACCATCTCTTTTGTAACTGTAGAGCTTGTGGTTGCGTCTTCATCTTGTGAATTCAGATTTAGGCAGTCCTATTATTTGGAATGAATTATAATGATTAAGGGATATAATCAAAGGATGTAATACTAGTTTTGGCTAGAACAAAGTGAAATGTTAGGCTAAAGAGATTAATTTTCCTTGTGCTTAATAAATTGATTCTAAAGGTAGATTAAAAAAATCAAACTCCATAAAAGTTTGTTAGTTGAAGTGGTTAATTTGTATTATCTCCAGAATTTTATGAAATTTTGTAATTGTTTTAAATCTGTGCAATGATCAGAGCTTTATCTAACAGTATAAAACAAAACCTGTTAAGATAACTTTAGCTTTTTTTTCATTAAGCTTTTATTTATTGTGGTTACATAGTTTAACATTTATTGGGTACAACGGTGATGTTTCAATGCATGTATATATTCTGTAGTGATTCGGGCTAATTGCTATATCTATCACTTCACTTTTATTTTGTATAGAGAGAAATTTAAGTTTATTTAAATGTGTTAGAAATGGGAAACTAGGGTGGTGCCTGTGGCTCAAAGGAGTAAGGTGCTGGCCCCATATGCCAGAGGTGGCAGGTTGAAATCCAGCCTTGGCCAAAAACTACAAAAAATATATATATAAATAAAAATAAAAATAAAAATGAAATGGGAAACTATCGATAAACAAAATCAGAAAGAAAAGTAAAATTCCCAAATTAACAAAGGAAGAGGGGGAAGGAAATAGAAGCGTGACCAATCCAGTGAAAATATGGAACATGCTAAAAAAGAAAACAAAATTAAAATTAATAATGCAGAAGCAAGAAGATATAAATGCATATTTATTATAATGAAAAATTCTGACCACTAACAACTCACAGATTTCGAGGAAACAACACTGTGAGACCACAAACATATCCTGCTTCCCAATGGACTTTCCTTTTTGTTTTACCATTTGTTGAGGATTCCTGCCCAAACCTATTAAATCTATAAAATGACAGTTACAAATTTTCCAACTCTACCACTCCTTTCAGTGTGTTACTTTTTTATATCTTCATAGGAGGGTAAAGAATTCCCTGCTCTTAATAATAAAACAGTATCAGAAACTGCCATGAAAACACAAGACAAGTGGAAAACCAGCAAAGCTTTGCAAGACTCAAAGAACCATAAATTAGGAAGTACACAAAAAACTACACTGAATATATGCAGCTTTATATTTTTCTTATTTCTATAAGAAAGAAATCTTTCTGCATATCAATCATAACGTCAGTAAAGTGGTTTTAAAAACAAGTGAATCATTTAAAAGAAAATCATACTTTTTGGCTTAATCTTTTGATTTGAGAACTTTAACAATACTTGGCATGTAATGAATATGGTTCCCTAAGCACAATGGATGAATTATTTTATAGTCACATTTATTATGTTTTTATGAATGAGAAGCAACCTTAAACATTTTAAACAGAAATAAATGAAACAGTTGTAAGTGGAAATAATACAGACAAAGTGCTTAGTGTTTTTATCCTTGGGTCAAACCATGGAAGTCTCAGGTTATTAGGAAAACTTTGAATATGAATGACTTTTTCTTCTTATTAATTTGAATCAATGGTAATTTGTGAAATGTTTTCCATTTTTAAACATAAGCATCTCTGTGTTCCAAGCCATGGAGCAGCAGGTCACTCTAGGAGTCTGAGGGTGACATCTGTAACCCATCAGGCTGCAGGGCCTATGAGCAGGTGTGGAGAGGACCAGAGTTCAACTGTCAGTAGCATCGTGGAATTGACTCGTTGAACCTTTCTGCCCTAATTACAATCATAGATGTCCCCTGTTTTCTGGTATTCCATTCCCACTAGAGACATGTTATTAATACCTTATTCCTGTGCACACATTAGAGGCACATGTCTTCAGGATGTAGGGGTGGAATGTTGTAGGCAGGAAGCAAGAAGAGTGTGTTTACCTTCCCTTCCTGCTTTTCGGGACCCCAGGCTTGTCCAGTATGAAACTGGAGGTGGACTTAACCATCTGCGTCTGCAGGGAGACATTTCCCATGGCCCACATGCTGCCTGACATCACAGTCCTGTGGAGGTGCCACTGCCGCGGTAGACAACCCAGCCCTTGCTGCAATTCTGGCCCAGGAGGCCAACATAGCCTCTGGGGCAGAAGTCACTGCAGCTGTATTAACTCCCTAAGAAGAGAGACAGACTTCAGGACAGGCAGCCCCCTCCCCCGGGAGGCCTAGTGCAGGGGCATCAGCACCCGGTGATCAGGACACGTCCTTTGCTCTGAACTTCTCAGGGACAATTTGATTTTCTTTTTAATGATTTTTGGATCTTGGCCTCTGTTACTGTGCCGGGAATATCCTGTTTTTTTGTTTTTTTAATTGAAACAGAGTTTCACTTTGTCATCCTTGTAGAGAGCTATAGCATCATAGCTCACAGCAACCTCAAACTCTGGGGCTCAAATGATTCTCTAGCCTCAGCCTCCCTGATAGCTGGGACTACAGGTGCCCACTACAATGCCCAGCTATGTTTTTTTGTTTCAGCAGGCTGGGGTCAGGTTTGAACCTACCAGCCCTGGAGCATGTGGCTGGCACCCCAACCACTGAGCTACGGGAGTCCCAGGAATATCCTTTTGATTTGGATGAGTGTGCATACACAGTTGCTTATATACATCTAATTTTTGGCTTTTGGTGCTCAGCTGTAATTAATTGCTGGCACCAGGCCTGTACAGTGACCTGGTGAAGCAGGTTAGTTAACTGGTGGCAGTTTGGTGGCAAATGGAAGAATTGGTACCACCTTCTGAGGTTTTTTTTATTTATTTTGAGACGCAGTCTCACTTTGTCACCCTTGGTAGAGTGTTGTGGCGTCCCAGCTCACAGCAACCTTAAACTCTTGGGCTCAAGTGATTCTCTTGCCTCAGCCTTCCCATTAGCTGGGACTACAGGTGCCCACCACAACGCCTGGCTATTTTTTTTTTTTTTTTAGAGACAGAGGTCTCACTGTGGCTTGGGCAGGTCTTGAACCTGTATTCTCAGGCAATCCACCCGCCTTGGCCTCCCAGAGTACTGGGATTACAGGTGAGCCACCACGCCCACATAGCAAAAAAAGTTTAAAAGGCAGTGCCTTATTGGCAAGGCATTTCCTGTGTCATTGTCCAGGTCTTCTTGTTGTACAGGCAGAAGACTGGCTGCTGGTGTTTATTTTTCCCCTTTGAGGCTCCAGACTTTCTCAGAAGTTAGTTTGCCTTCTGAGGTTTTGGGCTATCATTATACTCTGCTTCCTTCTTTGGGCAGAACTCTTCGTTATCCTTGACAGATACTTTTCGTTTGGTCCCCTTCACTGAGGGTCCCAGGACAGCAGTTGCACTGGGATGATGAGCAGCAGCCTGCTGGGCCTCTGCCGAGCAAGTTTCTCCTGATGCTTGTTTACATCTATAATTTCCACATTCTTGCCCAGACCTTTCTGTGGAGTTCTGCTCCTTGCCTTTTGCATTCTCTGTACTTAGAAGTGGAGATTGATAAAATGAAAAAATTATTCTAAAATCCCTATCCATCACTTTAAACATTTATTGTTTGTTTGTGGTGACAGCATCCAAACTGTCCTCTTTCAGCTGTCTTGAGACACCCCTACATTGTTCTTTGCTATAGTCACACCCCCCCCACCCCCCCCACCCCCGTGTAATAGACACCAGAGCTTACTCGTAACCCCCATCTAACTCTACGTTTTGTACCCATTGACTTTCTTCTCTCAGCCCCCTTCTTCCTCCTCCCCTCCCCAGCCTCTGGTAACCACTGCTCTACTCTGCTTTCATGGCAACACCTTTTTTAGATTCCATGCATGAGAATAACATCAAGCAGTATTTGAGTTTCTGTGTCTGGCTTATTTCATTTCATAATGCCTCTGGGTTCATCCATGTTGCTGCAAATGACAGGATTTCATTCTGTCGTATGGCTGAAGAGTATTCCACTATGCGTGTGTAGATGGCACATTGTTTTCATTTATTCAGCTCTAGGCGCAGTCGTTTAGGTTGACTGCATACTTTGCCTGTTGTGGATAGCACTGCAGTGAACATGGGAGTGTGGGTGAAACACTGTTGTTATTTCCTTTGCATGTGTATCTAGCAGTGGGATTGCTGGATCACATGGTAGTTCTATTTTAATTTTTTGAGGAATCTCCAAGTCATTTTCCATAATGGCTGTATTAATTGACATTGTCACCAATGGTGTTTAAGAGTTAGTTCCCCTTTCTTTGTGTTTAATTCCTTTTTCCCATTTTTGTTCATATTTGTTATTTTTGTCTTTTTGATAGTAGCCATTCTAACTGGGGTGAGGTGATGGCTCATTGTGGCTTTGATTTGCATTTCCCTCATGATCATGTTGAAAAGTCTTTCATACATCTGTTGGCACTTGTATGTCTTGTTTGAGAAATGTCTTTTTTAGGCCTTTTGCTGATTTTAAAATCAGACTGTTTTTTGCTGTTGAATAATTTGAGTTCTTCATATATTCTGGATACTAGCCCCTTGTCAGAGATACAGTTTGTAAATACTTTCTCCCATTCTGCAGGTTGTCTCTTGAGTGTGTAATTTCATTGTTTCCTTAGCTGCACAGAAGCTTTTTAATCTGATGCATAGAAAACCCTAAAGGCTTCACCAAAAAAAACTGTAGAACTATAGGACTGAATGAATTTAGTAAGGTTGTAAAATACAAAATCAACATAACATGGGTGGCACCTGTGACTCAAAGGAGTAGGACCCTGGCCCCATATATCGGAGGTGGTGGCTTCAAACCCAGCCCGGCAAAAAAAAAAAAAAAAATCAACATAACAGAACTTAATAGTGGTTCTATATGCCAATAGCAAACAGTCTGAAAAAAAAATCAGAAAAACAATTCCATTTACAATAGCTACAAATATAACACAATACTGGGGCTAAACTTAACAAGTGAGGTGAAAGATTTCTATAATGAAAACTATGAAACATTGATCAAAGAAATTGAAGAAGATACAAATAAATGGAAAGATATCTCATGTTCATGGATCAGAAGAATTAATATTATTAAAATGCCCATGACCCAAAATGATCCTCAAATTCATTGCAATCTCTATGAAAATGCCAATGATGTTTTTCTCCAAAATTTGAAAAGTTAAAAAAAATTAAAATTCGGGGGGTTGTCTGTGGCTTAGTGAGTAGGGCACCGGCCCCATACACCCAGGGTGTCAGGTTCAAACCTGGCCTGGCCAAACTGCAACAAAAAATAGCCGGGCGTTGTGGCGAGTGCCTGTAGTTCCAGCTACTTGGGAGGCTGCGGCAAGAAAATCACCTAAGCCCAACAGCTGAAGGTTGCCACGGTATTCTACCAAGGGCAATGAAGTGAGACTCTGTCTCAAAAAAAAAAAAAAAAAAAAGCTGGATAGCCAGAACAGTTTTGAGCAAAAAGAACTAAGCTGAAGGTATCATACTACTTGACTTTAACATATGCTACTAAGTAGTAGTAACCAGAACAGAATGGGACTGGCATAAAAGCAGACACATAAATCAGTGGAATAGTGTAGAGAACTGAGAAATAAAGTCATCTTTTTACAGCCAACAGATTTTTTAAAAAGGTGCCTAGAACACACTTTGGGATAAGGATAGTCTCTTTAGTAAATGTTTGGAACACTGGATAGCCATGTGCAGAAGAATGAAACTAGACCTTTACCTCACCATATATATATAAACAAGCTCAAATTAGATTAAAGACTGAAGCAGAAGATCCAAAACAGTGAAACTACTAGAAGACAGACACAGGGGAAAGCCTTCATGAAATTGGACTAGGCGAGTGTTTTTTGAATAAGATCTCAAAGCACAGGCAGCAAAGCAGAAACAGACAAATATCAAGGTGACTATGAGATTTCAGCAATGAGTGATTAAGAACATACTACTTTAGGCTTGGCACCCATAGCACAGTGGTTATAGTGCCAGCCACATACCTGGGGTAGTAGGTTTGAACTCAGCCCAGGCCAGCTAAACAAACAATGACAACTACAACAAAAAAATAGCCAGGCATTGTGGCGGGCACCTGTAGTCCCAGCTACTTGGGAGGCTGAGGCAGAGAATCCCGTACGCCCAAGAGTTGGAGGTTGCTGTGAGCTGTGATGCAACGGCACTCTACCAGGGGTGACATAATGAGACTCTGTCTCAAAAAAAGAAAAAAAAAAAGAACATAGTACATTTAAATCTGTGTGGACTTAACAAGGTGATTTACTTCATCATTTTGAGATGCACCGACTGTTACTGCCACAAGGACATTTACTTTATAAGTTTCTTTTATAGCAGGGACTTCTGACTCTGAATTTAAACCTTCCCAAGTCAAAGGTACAACAGAAACAAAGATGGCAGGTACATTGTACCCTCTATATAAATAGAGTTGTTTGTCTTTGTTCATTCTAATTTGAATATTGTTTGTGGAATATTACTACCCTAAAGATAGTAGTAGTGAAATACTTTTATGATTTTATTTACATATCTTTAGATCTCAGGCACAGAAACCAAGAATGTTGAGTTGCCGTTCAGGTAGTTCGTGTTTCTGACTTGCCTTTAGGTAACAATCCTGCCTAGTCCCTAGTCTACATAGGTGGCATTCAGGTAATATAATTTTAAAAGATTGTTTTTATTACCATATTATATAGAAAAAGTGGGGAAGACCAAAATGGAGAACTGACTTTATCAATTTGAAGAATTAGGAAAGGAGTTCTTGACTTCTCTTTCTATCCTAAAATTAAAATGCTGGTAGACTTGACTTTTGAAGTACACTTTGATGTGTACTTCATGTGGAAACGTTGAAGGTCTAGGATTTTTTAGCAACTAGAAAATAGGTTGAAAATAGGTTCATGTTTCTCCCCCATAAAAATGTAAATAAACTGTTTAAGTTCTTGTAAATAACTGAAGATTTGAAATGCACGGACTGTTTTTTACTTATTTCTTCTTTGTTGTAATGATCAACTCCTTTTATTGTGTGCAAGTATCTGAGGTGGAAAATATTAGCTAATTGTATCACCTACTTGCCTGACGAGCTTCCAGTATTTGAGATAGAAATAATCTGTCACACCTTTGTTTTAAAAAACTATGTCTAAAATATAATTAGTTTTAAAGCTGTGCAAGTGCACAGCATGCTTTCCTTTTAGTGCTTTTTTTTCCTTCTAGCCAAAGAGTAGAAATAAGAGCACAAGTTGCAGATGCCTTCTTATCCAAGTTCCAGCTGACATCTGATGAAATGGGTCTTCTTCGAGGTGCTAAAGAAGGACCTATTACTGAGGTATTCCTGCTTTGTGTTACAATCATTTAAAATGTAGAAGTTACAGATGGTAATAGAGAAATTGCGTTTTTAGGCTTTATTTTATGATTTATAAAAGTTCTTATCTGAAAGTATTTTTAAATTTGGAAGTTAAGAGAAATATTTTATTTAACTTTTATTTTTTCAGAGTAATATATGACCTTTTCTTTTGGTGTGAAAAAATATCTTTATGTTCACTGTAATTGAAAAATTAGACTTTCCTCTAATTATGAAGGTAGAAAACAAACCACGGTAGCTCTTAGCAGAATTTGTTCTTTTGTACTTGATAAAATAGTAGATATTTTCCTATCACATTACAGTTGTTACAGCTATCCAGAAATATTTTTCGTGTACTACTTGGAAATTATGGTGTGTACAAGGGCTCCTGCTAGAGCTCGTTATCTTTTTTTTTAAATTAGATCATAACTGTGTACATTACGGCAAACCAGTTTGATGTAGCCATTCCAAATTATATACACAATCAGTACATGTCCTTTTTAAAAAAACAAAACTCAGAGTGTACCACAAAGCGTATAAAGCAAGCATGCACCTCTTCGTCACTCCTCACAGCTGGGCCCTGTGGCAGACATTTCCATCTTGTTAATTGCTGCTTTTGTAAGTTATGTATTCTAGATCTTTAGTTAAAATAAATATGCTTTGCTTATCTATGTTAAACTCTTTTTTGTTGATTTCCTATCATGAAATAGGATTTAGCCTCTTAGCCTCCTTCCTCCCTCCCCCTAAAACAAACAATATGCACATTCTCTTTATCTCCTCCGTAATTTGTAGTACTGCTAGGTCACATTTCCTTTTTTTTATATTGTGACATTACAGTAATTATTCTTTCTTTTATAATTTCTTGCCTTTCCTGGAGTTGGAAATTGCTTATCTTTTTTTCTGATTAATTTTTAAAGCTGTGCCACTTTTTCCAAACTGACAAAAGAACAAAACCTCTCGAAATGATAAATCACAAGGAAAAGTTGTTTGTTTCTTTGAAGACATTCAGTTTTTCCAGAAGGTAATCTTGTGGTCTCCTAACTTGGAGGAGATATAAACTTTAGCCTTATGTTCTCATTCTGAGATCAGAGGGCCAGAGGGTTATTGAGGTGGGGGAAGAGTCTCCCTGAGCATTTCTTAGTACATACACTTTTAATACCTTGGCTGGAATGGAACTAGCCATTTGGGAGTAGGGAGGCGAGAGAATTGCTGAAGGCATTTCTTATTAGTATGTACTGCCTTTGTGGTTTGAGGAACTTAGCACATTTGATATGTTTTTTTTTTTTTTTTTTTTTTTT